TGGCTGCAGGATGTAGGCCATTTTTCAGAGTTGAATGATTTTAACTTTTATAATATTCAGTTCTGAGAATGCTGCTATATATAACGATACACTATGAAACAACAGGCATATGTTTAGGCCTATTTAAAATTTTTTGGACATTCTGTGCTAATTCCAAGCTAAAATTCACTACCTGACTTTTTTTTCATAAACCAACTCAGTAAATAGCTTTTAAAACATTTTAAGACAATCTAATCCAAATATATACTCATTTAATATTTAACATGCTGAAGAATTATGACAAGAATATTGAGAGGCTATGTTTTCCATAGCTATACCATTATGTTTCTCTAATCACATCATGCTTGTTACTTAAAATAAAAACACTGCTCTTAATACCAGTCAATAGTCTCAAATCTGAGCTAGGAAGTACCATTGACATTGTATACAGTACTATTGCATGCAATGTAAAGGGCACATATTGTATGTGCTGCAATGAAGTTGCAACCAAGGCTGCAATGAAGCTGTATGATAGACACATGACAAATGAGCACTGCTTCAAACACCTGAGATTCTTTGCACTTTTTGAGTTTAAATTAATTTTTGATTGTTGTGCAGGTGAAAATCTTTTACTGTTGCTAATTTTTAAAGCAACAAATCAAGTAATCCAATTAAAAAATGGGGAACAGGGCTAAACAGAGAATTCTCGATAGAGGAATATCAAATGGCAGAGAAACACTTAAAGAAATGTTCAACGTCATTAGCCATCAAGGAAACGCAAATCAAAACAACCCTGAGATTTCACCTTACACCCATCAGAAGGGCCAAGATAAAAAATCAAGTGACAACAGATGCTGGAGAGGTTGTGGCGAAAGAGGAACACTCCTCCATTGCTGGTGGGAATGTAAACTTGTACAACCACTTTGGAAATCAATCTGGAGCTTTGTCAGACAACTAGGAATAGCACTTCCTCAAGATCCAGCTATTCCACTCCAAAAGAGGCTCAAGTACACAATAATGACATTTGCTCAACCATGTTTGTAGCACCTTTACTTGTAATAGTCAGAAGCTGGAAACAACCCAGATGCCCCTCAACTGAAGAATGGATACAGAAATTGTGGTACAGCTACAGAATGGAATATTACTCAGCAATGAAAAACAAGGACATCATGAAATTTGCAGGTAAATGGTGGGAACTGGAAAGGATCATCCTGAGTGAGCTATCCCAGAAGCAGAAAGACACACATGGTATATATTCACTCATATATACATATAATATAGGATAGACCTACTAAAATCTGTACATCTAAAGAAACTCATCTAGAGGGAGGACTCGGGCCAAAATTCTCAATCTCCATCCTGAAAGGCAAAGAGGATGGACATCAAAAGAAGAAAACAGGAAACAAGTTAGAGGCCTCCCACAGAGGGCCTCTGAAGGGCTCTGCCTTGCAGACTATCAAAGCAGATGTTGAGACTTATGGCCAACTGTTGGGTAGAGTGCAAGGAATCTTATGAAAGAAGTGGGAAATAGTAAGATCTGGAGATGACAGGAGGTCTACAAGGAGAGCAACAGAACCAAAAAATTTGAACACAGGGGTCTTTCCTGAGACTCATACTCCAACCAAGTACCATGCATGGAGATAATCTAGAACCCCTGCATACATGTAGCCCACGGCAGTCAGTGTCCAAGTGGGTTCCATAGTAATGGGAAAGACTGTCTCTGACATAAACTGATTGGCCTGCTCTTTGATCACCTCCCCTGAAGGGGGAACAGCCTTATCAAGCCACAGAGGAAGACAATGCAGCCATTCCTGATGAGACCTAACAGACTACGATCAGAAGGAAGAAAAAGAAACCCTCTCCTACCAGTGGACTTGGGGAAGGGCATGCCTGGAGAAGGGGAAGGAAGGTAGGGGTTGGGAGGGGAGGAGTGAGGGAACTAGAGGGGGGATACAAAGTCAATAAATAGTAATTAAAAATAAAAATTAAAAAATTAATTAATTAAAAAAATTAACAGTGTTGGAGTGTAGATCACTGTTATTTGCCTAACCTGCATGAGGCCCTGAGGTCCAGCCTTGGCACCCTCAATAAAAGATAAAAATAGTTTTGCTTCTCCCAATGATCTTTTGAAATGTGTTCACCAGGCCCCATGCTTTTAGTCTTTATAAAGAGAGGCTGGGGACTTAGCTCATTTGGTACAGCACTTACCTAGCAAGAATGGGGAGATAAGAAGACCTGGAGGAGACAGGAGCTCCACAATGAGAGCAACAGAACCAAAATATCTGGGCACAGGGATCTTTTCTGAGACTGATACTCCAACCAAGGACCATTCATAGAGGTAACCTAGAACCCCTGCACAGATGTAACTCACGGCAGTTCAGTGTCCAAGGGGGTTTCCTGGTAATGGGAACAGGGACTGTCTCTGACATGAACTCAGTGGCCCGCTCTTTGTTCACCTCCCCCTGATGGGGGAGCAGCCTTACCAGGCCACAGAGGAAAATAATGCAGACAGTTCTGATAAGACCTGATAAATTAGGGTCAGATGGAAGGGGAGGAGGACCTCCCCTATCAGTGAACTGGGGGAAGGGCACAGGAGGAGATGAGGGATAGAGGGTGGTTTTGGGAGGGAATGAGGGAGGGGGCTACAGCTGGGATACAATGTGAATAAACTTTATAAAAAATATAAATTTTTTTTAAAGTGAAAAAAAGTAAGTCCTAAGTTAGATTTCCAACTTTATGAAAACTGGTGCATTCTTGGCTGCCTCATGACTGAGGCCAACCTGGGCTACAAGAGACCTAGTCTAAATAAATAAATAAATAGCTCTAAAAATTCTATGAAGAGTAGCTGGCAACTTAACCTATTAAAAAGGAAGTACAAAATCTATCTATTATCCTATTGCTCCTTCCAGTCTCAGCCTCAGGCAGTCAGTAATGGGTTGAAAGGCCCTAAGGAGGTTTTCCAGAACTGGGAAAAAAATGATTAATTTTAATTTTTAATTATGTGTGTTTACGTGTCTATGTGTCTATGTTATGTGCATATGAATACAGGCAGGTACCTGTGGAGAAAAAAAAAAAGAGATGGACTATTGTGAAACTGAGTTACAGGTGGTTACAATCCTTCCAACTTAGGTGCGGGAAATTAAACTCAGGCTCACTGCAAGAGAGATATGTGTTTCTAATGAGCTGTGTCTCCAGCTTTTGTTGCCAACATTTTTAAACTGCCTCATTCAGTTGTGTGATCAAGGCCTAGGGATTAAAGTGGAGTGTAGGAGCTTGCATTCCAGCTCTGATATTTAATGTGATTCCAAACAATTGACTTAATAATCCTGTTTCTCACTGGCAAGTAGGAAATGTAATAATAATAGTAACAATAATGTCTAGCTTGTAGAGTTGTTTGGAGGATTAAATGAAGTATGTCATATTAAGATGCTTAACTAAGTGCTGGTTGCATATTACTATTTCGTTAAATAAATATTCATCAACTATGAAAGTCCAGATACTTTCCTGTGGTTGTGCGATAGAGCAAGGAACAAGAGAGATGAGATCCTTACTTCCTTTGGTGGTATACTAAATGCTGATGAGGAAGAGGGTTTAGGCCTTTTACTTAATGATTTGTTAATCTGTTAGTTCCAGTTATTATCCTGTTTTCTACTTTGTCAATTCCAATACATTGTGAATTGTCAGTTTATCTTTTTTTTTTTTTCCTAAATGAGTCTGTACTAAGAAATATGGATTTCCTTTAAACCCAGATTTAGGTATATTTCAATACTTGAAGTTCACTGTTTTCATTGTTGCCAATTTGTCTCCTTCCATATTTGACCAGTTTCCACTCTAGTTACTTTACCATGTCTATAAGGAAAGCAAGACGCCCTCATCAAAGGTTTATCAGATAAGCCACCTCATCGCGGACCTTCAGCCTCCAAAAACCATGAGCAAAACAAGCCTCTTTGCTCTATAAAGTATATCACCTCAAGTTTTTTCTCATAATGGCAGAGGACAAAACAATATGAGAAGACATTGTAGTATGAAAGGCATGGACAGGAATAATAAGATTGTTATCGTAATTTAGAAAGGATAAGCCAGCCTGACTGCACAGAACGGTTTCAGAGGCACAAAAGGAATTGATGCCAGCAGACTAATGAGGAAATTTTCATGCTAGTGTAGCCCGGTGATTCTCAAACTTGAGCATGCATCAGAAGCTCCTTGAGGGCCTCTTAGGGCACAGCTTGTTGGGCAACATCCCAGAGCTTATGATTTAGTTAACTTGTAGTAGGGATCTAAGGCTTTGATTTTGTGTAAGTTCTCAGGAGATGCTTCTGCTGCCAGTCTTGGAGCCACACTTTGAGAACCTCTCATTTAGGAAAGTGATGACAGAAGGCAAGACTAGTGGAAACTGGGTTAGAGAGGAAAGAAAGAGAGGGGAAAAACACAGGGCTTAGGGATTGAACATGGGGTCAAGATTTGAGGGGGAAATCGAAGATGACTAAAAAGATAACAAATTTCAGTGGCATGATAATATGAGGCTTATAGGAACAAACTCCCAAGTACCGGTGAGTAGAATTTAGTCACATAACATGTACTACGAAAATATGTGAGGTTTCTATTTGTGTCTGCATGATGGCACTCAAGGCTAAAGTCTTTTTGTTTTGTCTGTGGAAGAAAAGCTTGTCAGGAGAAAACATGTGTCTGTGTTTGGTCTCTTTACTGCAATGTAATGTTGAGTGAAAAAAAGGGAATGTACACAATAACGGGGGTTGGAAAGAAATTGGAAAGAGTTTACATAGTCTTGACACGAAGAACATAACTTTGCCCTGTTAAGTATTGAATATGTATGAGTAACCAAGAAAAAAAAGATGGAGTAAAACAGCAGGGGCCACACAGGGCAGCTCTTGGGACAGTGCCTGAGACAACTGAGAACAATTTCAAAGATCGGGTTTCCCAGTTCCAGACGTCCAAACCTTTCCTTTAGTCTCTGATGCCCTGATTTCTGGCTATTTCCAGTTTACTGGGAATTCTCTTACCTGCTTCTCTCCACTGGGCTTCCTGTAGCTAAGCAGAAGCTCCACGGCGCCTACAACCTCCTTTCGGATGGCATAGAGTAACGCATCGCCCACGTACACGCTGTGGTTTAACAGGAGCTCCATGATCTCCAAGTTCTCGTTCTCAATGGCGATGAGCAGGGCACTCCTGCCCAAAGGATCCATGCAGTTGATGTTGACATTGTAATAGATCTCGGCCTCCTGTAGTGCCTGCTTCACTGTGGCATAGTCCCCCTTTTCCACAGCATTAAGGAAGGCCTTCTCTTCAGCAGAGAGTTCGGTCTCAGCCCTCACGATTTGGAGGGGGATGCGGTCTCTGTATGGTGAGTAATTGACCTTCTTGTAGTAGAGCTGGGCCATGGTTCATAGCAATTTAGAAACCTAAGTGGGAGGGAGAGACAGAGAGAGACAGAGACAGAGAGGAGAGATCAATGACAGTATTAGTTACCTGAAGTTTCAAATGGCCACCTATTAATTCCTTTCTAAGGAGAGGAGAACCTCCCCTATCAGTGGACTTGGGGAGTGGCATGCATGCAGAAAGGGGAGGGAGGGTGGGATGGGGGGGTTCAAAATCCCAAAGCATTTAAATGACATCCCTGTTTCCCTGTTGCCAAATAACAGAGTAGCAAAAAGCCAGGTTTTGGTCAGAAAGACTTGGGCTCAAACACTAGTTTAACACTTCCCAGCTCTGTGATCTTGGACAAGTTAGTCAAACCCATCTACCACATTTGTTTCTAAGGTTATGCAAATTAATAACATTAGCAGTTATCATCTAGAGAGTGCTTAACAAGTCTTGTGCTAGAGAATATCCCCTACCCTGAAAAGCTACTCTGAGTGAGCTTAAAAGTTAAAGGAGCAAGATCAAATCTCCCAAGGTATAGCACAAGTTAAACTGTCCTTTTACTTCTCTTGCTGAAAATATTCATCGTAATACTTCTTATTGGTGGTATTGAGTTCATGCTCACCTAGGGCCAATTTCATTTGCTCTCTGGATTTTTTGGGTCTTTTTGTAATCTAATTTTCAAGATTGCATTTGCCATTGTTCCAGATTCACATTTAAGACTGAAATACTATTTTAGCAGTGGAAAATACAGTTCAGTTAGTGCAATGATTGTTCAGCAAACACAAAACCCCATGTTTGATCTCATGCTCTGGATGTGGTAGTACACACCCCAAATCCTAGTACTCAGAGGGTAAAGGAAGGAGAAACAGAAGTTCAAGGTCATCCTTGACCATATAATGAGTTTAGGGTTGGCCTATGATTCATGAGAGCATGTATTTTAAAAAAGACAAAAGGGAAAAATAAAAGTAAGTATGGTTTAGTGTCAAGCACAGCCCTGCTCCTTGGAGAAGTATGGACTCCAGAAGGCTAAAGTAGCTTCAAAAGGCGAGGAGGGACTCATTCCCTAAACTAACACCTGGTTTCTTTCTGCCACTACTCCAAACTCTAAAGCTAACAGACTGGAGAATCAATTTGATTTAATTCTGAGAAATGAATAGTCTGTTTTGTTTGTGTGAGATCTAAGGTCACATCACACTTAATAGAACAGATTGTAAAGTGAAAACTAAATAGGTTTTTTACTGAGCTCCTGCAATGTGCTTAAATTTTCTCTGGAAGACCAAGAAAATAAAAGCACCTTTGCCTATAATCATACAGAATGAATCATGGGGTAGAGCTCTTAATTTGCAATTTACAGGTCAAATTCACTCACATGCCTCATTGACTCCTTGTACTGTCCCTGCAAGGTGGGAATGATGGTCCTCTTTAGGAGAGAAAATGAGATTTAGATCTTTTAGCTGATTGGCTGTCTTCTCTTGTTCCTGAGGTCTCCAAACCCCGCTGGAGTTAAGATGGCCTTATTTTGACACTTTTCATTAAGGAACCATTTCACTAGAAGGAAATGAAAGTGTGATAAAGAGCCCCTTGTCTCATCTCCTGAAAGTAAGAGAAGGTTTGGAACTTCTACACGCATTTACCTCACTCATTCAGATAATTACATCTCTTCTTTGGCAGGGTGAGAAGCATATATTAAGGAGCATTTGCAATTCATATCTTTGTGATCTTCAGGGAAGTTAGCATTTGAAGATGACTGTTGGCTGCCTTTTTCCCCAGTGATGAATATCTTTCTTTGTCTAGAAATCAGACCGTAGGGTGCTTGTTTGGCTCCCTAGAGAAGGTCTGATATGTTTTCCACTTCTGTATTGGTTAGGTTTTTATGAGTTTAACACAGACTGAGATACCTGGAGACAGAGAGCCCCTCAATGGAGGAAGAGCTGCCATAAGATTGGCTTGATTGCTGGTTGAGGTAAGAAGATACAGCTTATGTGGGCCATTCTGTCTCTAGCCTCTTAGGCCCAGTCTACATAAGAAAGGCAGTTCAAGGTGGGCAGTTGTGGCCTATGCCTTTAATCCCAGCACTCAAGAGCCACAGGCAGTCAGACCTCTGAGTTCAAGGCCAGCCTGGTCTACACAGTGCGTTTTAGGATAGCCAGGACTACAAAGAGAAACCCTGTCTCAAACCAAACCAAACCAAACCAAACCAAACCAAACCAAACCAAACCAAACCAAACCAAACCAAACCAAACAACAACAACATCAACAAAAAGTAGCCGAGAACGTTGTGGTGAGCAAGTCAATAAGCAGCTTCCTCCATGGCTCCTGCTCCTACACCTGCTTGAGTTCCTGCCCTGACTGATGGGCAGTGATCAGAAGTGTAAGACAAATAAATCTCTTCTTCTCCAAGTTCTTTATAGTCAGTGTTTATCACAACAACAGAAAGAAAACTAGAACAACTACTGTCAGAGAACTTAGTAGAGTCTAAAGGAAATTGACATGTAAAAGACCCACTTTCCTCTGAAAAGCATATGACCATGATAACACTAACTTTAGACCGCCTCTATGTTGTCAACAGGAAGTGGGAGGGTGTGATCCCTTGATGAGTGACTCAGGAGCTCTTGGGCTTCTGTTATAATAACTTAATTAATGGAAATGCACTGAGCACATCCAGTTCATCCAGCACTTCGATAACCCCTGTGGTGGTGGTTGGGGGAGATGGCAGAACAGGCCCTGTGTTCACCATTTTTTGCTTACACTACTGCCACATGTTGGACTTAGTAATCAGCATGATTCCATTCTTTCCCCACCACTTCAAGTCTGCCTCTGAGTTATCCTATGAAGCCCAGTATTGTTTCCATTCTGTTTATTTTTTTATGATTTCTTACTGCTGTGTGTGTGTGTGTGTGTGTGTGTGTGTAGAAGCCTGAGATTACTATTAGATGTCTTACTCTGTGGCTGCCCTATCTCTCTATCTATCTCCCTATCTCTCTCTCTCTCTATCTCTCTCTCTCTATCTATCTCTCTATCTCCCTATCTCTCTCTCTCTATCTATCTATCTATCTCCCTATCTCCCTATCTATCTATCTATCTATCTATCTATCTATCTATCTATCTATCTATCTCTCTATCTATCTCCCTATCTATCTATCTATCTATCTATCTATCTATCTATCTATCTATCTATCTATCTATCGCATGAGATTCTTTTTTATTTTTATTTTTTTATATTAATTACAAGTTATTTACTTTTTATCCCAACTGTAGCCTCCTCCCTCATTCCATCCCAACCCCACCCTTTCTCCCTCATCTACTCCTTACCCCTAAGTCCACTAATATGGGAGGTATTCCTCCCCTTACATCTGACCCTAGTTTATAAGGTCTCATCAGGACTGGCTGCAGTGTTCTCCTCTGTGACCTAGCAAGACTGCTCCTGCCTCAGGGGCTGGAGAAGGTCAAAGAGCCCACCATTGAGTTCATGTCAGAGACAGTCCCTATTCCCATTACTAGGGAACCTTCTTGGATGCTGGGCTGCCATGGGCTAAGTCTGAGCAAGAGTTCTAGATTATCTCCAGGCATGGTCCTTGGCTGGGGAATAAGTCTCAGAAAAGACCCCTGAGCCCAGACATATTTGGTCCTGTGGCACTTCTGTCCTCTCCAGGTCTTACTAATTCCCCCTTCTTTCATATGATTCCCTGCATTCTACCCAAGGTTTGGTTAGGAGTCTCAGCATCTGCTTTGATACACTGCTAGGTAGTCGTTCAGAGGCCCTCTATGGTAGGCTCCTGTTCTAGTTCTTGTTTTCTCCTACTTCCAATGTCCATCCCATTTGTCCTTCTAAGAGAGGATTAATCATCTTTACCCCAGGACCTCCTTGTTTAGCTTCTTTAGATGCACATATTTTAATATGCTTATCCTATCTTATAGGTCTAATATCCACTTATAAGTGAGTATATGCCATGTGTGTCTTTCTGCTTCTGGAATACCTCACTCAGGATGATTTTTCTAGATCCTACCATTTGCCTGCAAATGTCATGATTTCCTTGTTTTTCATTGCTGAGTAGTATTCCATTGTGTACATGTACCACAATTTCTGTATCCATTTCTCAGCTGAGGGATATCTGGGTTGTTTCCAGCTTCTGGCTATTATGAATAAAGCTGCTACAAACATGGTTGAGCAAATGTCTTTTTTGTGTACTTGAGAATATTTTGGATATATGCCTAGGAGTGGTATAGTTGGTTCTTTTTATTATTATTATTAGTTACATTTTATTAACTCTGTATCCCGCTCCCTCATTCCTTCCCAATCCCACCCTCCCTTCCTCATCTCCTCCCTGCCCCTTTCCAAGGGGAACAGGAACTATTTCATTTTTTTTATTTATTTTTTTTTTTACTTTTTATTTTTTTATTAGTTACATTTTATTAACTCTGTATCTCAGGTGTATCCCGCTCCCTCATTCCCTCCCAAACTCTCCCTCCCTCCCTTGGGACTATTTCTGACATGAACTCAATGGCAGGCTCTTTGACCTCCCCACCCCCCAAGGGAAGAGCTGTCCTGCTAGGCCACAGAGGAGGACTGTGCATCCAGTCCTGAAGATACCTGATAAAACAGGGTCAGATGAAAGGGGAGGAGGTCCTCCCCAATCAGCACTCACACAGGTCTAGAACACTGCACAGAATATTTATTTATTTATGGGCATTTAAGGAGCAAAACCAATTGAGTGTTAGCAGAGTTAAGCACTGGAGGCCTCAGAAATGGTTTCATGCAGCAACTCTAGTGCTGATCATCAGAAGATGAGTTAAACATACAAATGTGAGGAGGAATGTAATTGGCAAGACTGATCATGGCTTGGCTGAGTGATTATTGGTGGGCAGGACAGGGAAGGCTATTTTTTTCAAGCTACTAAAAGATATAAGAGTTAGAGGTGTAGTTTATAACCTCAGTTTTCCCAGCTGAGTAATGTCCTTAAACATTTTTTTTTCACTTGCCTCAGAGGCCACAATAGAAGAAAAGGATGCTGGGCAGTCTTTTTTTTTTTTTTTCTTT